AAATCTAAAACTTTTGCTCTGCAAAAACCCTGTTAAGATAATGAAAAGACAAGCTACACAGTGGGAGAAAATATTTGCAAATCATCTATCCAACAAAGGACTTATATCTAGAGTATATAAGAACTCTCGGGATGCCTGGGTGGCTCAGTGTCGGTGAGGCATCTGCCTTCGGCTTGGGTCATGATCCCAGGGTCCTGGGATTGAGCCCCTGAGTCAGGGCTCCCCGCTCAGCGGGGAGTCTGATTCTCCCTCTCCCTCTGCCCATCCCCTCTCCCCCCGCTCATGCTTGCTCTCACTCAAATAAAATCTTTAAAAAAAAAAACACTCAAAACTCAACAGTAAAAAACAATCCAGTTAGGAAATGCGCAAAAGATATGAACAGACTTTCACCAAAGAAGCCATACAGATGGCAAATAAGCACACAAAAAGATGTTAAACATCATTAGCCACTAGGGAAATACAGATTAAAATCACAATGAAATAACCACTACACATCTATCAGAATGGCTAAAATAAAAAACAGTAACAACACCAAATGCTGGCAAGGATATGGAGAAACTAGATCCCACTCATACATTGGTGGTGGGGATGTACACTTAATCTGCAAAACATTTTGGCAGTTTCATAAATCTTCAACTACTCTACAACCTGGCAGTTGCACTCCTGGGCATGTATCACAGAACTTAAGACTTAAATTCACATAAAACTTATACATGAATATTTATGGCAGCTTTATTTGTAGTCACCCCAAACTGCAAACAACCCAAACATCCTTCAACAGGTAAATGGTTACAAAACTGTGGTACAATGATACTTCGGTATACTACTCAGCAATAAAAAGAAATTGATACATGCAACAACCTGGATGAATTTCCAGATAATTATACTGAGTGAAAAAGTCTAATTCCAGAAGATTCCATACTGTGCAATTATATAACTTTCTTGAAATGGTAAAATTATAGAAATGGAAAACAGACTAGTAGTTGTCAGAGGTTAAGGAGGAAATAGAGGCAGGAGGGAATAGGTGTGGCAAATAAAGGGCATAAGGGATCCTTGTGATGATAGAAATGTTCTGTATATTGACTCTATCAATAATAATATCCTGGTTGTGTACTGTCATATAGTTTAGCAAGATATTACCATTGGGAGAAACTGGGTAAAGGGTACATGGGATTTCTGGGTTTTTTGTTTGTTTGTTTGTTTTTTTACAACAACATGTGAATCTGCAATATTTTTTTTGACACAGAGAGAGAAATCACAAGTAGGCAAAGTGGTAGGGACGGGGAGAGGAGGCTCCCTGCTGAGCAGAGAGCCCAATGCGGGGCTTGATCCCAGGACTCTGGGATCATGACCTGAGCTGAAGGTAGACACTTAACTGAGCCACCCGGGCACCCCTGCAATTAAATTTTTTTTAAAGCAATGAAGAAAATTGTAAGGGAAAGGATAATGTAGCCTGAATATGTAAAACCTTTACTTAGATTAGAGAATACCACACAATTTAAAGCCAACACTAAACTAGAAAAAGTATTTGTGACAAATGACTGAAAGAAGTTGATACCTTTAATATATAAAGTGTTCTATAATTTATAAAACTGATATCCCCGTGTAAGCAGTACACAGAAGAAAAAATGCACCTTGCTACAAAACATTAGAAAGTATTTCAATCTTTCTAGTAATCAAAGAAATGAAAATTGGCATTTTCTCCTCTAAATTGCAAATCTTTTTATATAACCTTGTTATATAAGGTTAAATATTTATCACATTTATTTTCTGTCTTCCTCTTAGGTGGTGGTGAAATTATATAGAATTTTAGCTCCAAGCAATATTAACTTTCAAATATATTAGCCTATTTTAAGTATTTCAACAATGGCACTAAATTTCTAACCGTTTACATTGATAATTCTTATTGATACATTGTTTACCGATTTCTCATATACAGTATATTCTTAGATTTTAAAAATTTTTTTGTATTTGTCAGAATTATTATTTTTTTTAAAGATTTTATTTATTTATTTGAGAGAGAATGAGATAGAGCACATGAGAGGGGGGAGGGTCAGAGGGAGAAGCAGACCCCCTGCCGAGCAAGGAGCCCGATGCGGGACTCGATCCCGGGACTCCAGGATCATGACCTGAGCCGAAGGCAGTCGCTTAACCAACTGAGCCACCCAGGCGCCCTGTATTTGTCAGAATTCTTAAGTACCTCCACCCCCTACCCACTCACCCCCTTATAGATTGGTGTATTTTCTGAGTACTTGGATATCTACACATACCATTTTTCACCTTTATACAAATAATTATTTGATCATGCCATTTTTCTTTGTCTGAAAACTTTGCTGTATTAGCTTTCATTTGATGTTGAAAATGAGAAATCATTTGATGTTGAAAATGAGAAATCTTATCACAGTCTGATTCTTTTTCTCAATAGGCAGACTGTTTTTAGTTTTCTGGCTGGAAACGTATAATCTTTTAATACTTAAACATTTGAATTTGGGCAGGTTCATTGGCATATATCTGAGTGTGTGAGTATGTGAATTTTTCATAGTATTTTTGCCTAGCATTTAGTGACTCTTCCATCTGAAGACTTGAGTCTTTCTTCAGCTAAATGATATTTTCTTTTATAACCTTTTTTTTTGGTTATTGCTTCCATTTAACCTACTCTGCCCTCATTCTGGAATTCCAATAATTTGGAGATTGGATGTCCTGGATCAGTTTTCAATGCAGCCTATATTTTTTTTTTCTCACAATTTCCATTTCTTTATCATTTTTACCTTTGTCATAGAAGAATTTCTATACTTCGACTTCTAATATACTCATTTGGCTTTTAGCCCTGTCCGTTTTAATCTATATTCTCCCTTTCTCAAGTTTAAATATTTTCTATTTCTAAAAGCTCTTATTTCCTGTTTGCTCCCCTTTTTATATTGAAGTCTGGTTGGTTTTATCAGTGCAGTAGTATTTTGAATATTACTGGGAGTATCGGTTACAAGTTGATATTAACTCTTGTTTACACCATTGACTGTTGTTTTTTTTGTTTTTTGTTTTTTTAGGGGCTGTTACATAGTTTGCTTAGTTTGGTTCCCCTGCTGACTTCCTCATAGGATCAATGAGTTTTATAGCTTGCTTATATTTTTAATGAAGTTCTTGAATAACCAGCGATGTTGGCTAATAGTGGGCTACCTCAGCAGCCTGTTTGTGAGTCTCTATTTGGTTTTCCTTAGCAGGCCTTCCCCTCTTAAACCAAAGCAGATAGCCATGGAACTCCAAAGGTAAGCTTTGTCCTTGGTGTGGAGAAGGCAGGAACATGCCAGAAAATGGACTTAAGTATTCAGTGGCTGGGAGCTGATTAGCAAGTATGCTTCTCCAGCCCGTGCCCTTGACCAGGGAGGCTGTGAGGGCCTTGGGTGGCTAGACTGTTTGACCTCGCATTCCATCCACAGTGAGTTAAGCCAGCGGACTGACACTGCTTCACATGCCACTGGCAGTGATGACGAAGATGTGATCAGAGGGACAAGTTTTTATGTCACCGGTAGGACGGAAAATATACATTCTTCTGGAAAGCCATTTGGTGGAGTGTAAAAACAGGCTTGGAAAATGTCTGATCCCTTTAGTTCTCACATTTCTAGCAGGCTATCTTAAAGAAATAGGGAAGTGGACGTAGACTTCTATTCAGAGATCCTAACTGCCAAGTTAGTTATAATAGGGGGAAATTGGAAAGAACCTACATGTCTTACAGAAGAGGCTCGGCCAGTCGTGTCCGTTATGTAGCTGTATGATGGGATGGGATGTTTTGCAGCTCACGATAGAATGCTGAATGAAAAAAATCAGAATATTACATTTTACACACAGTATGTTTATACATGATAAAAAGGCCAGAAGTAACACAACAGATTATTATCAGTGGTAGGATTCTGGGTGACTTGTGTTTTTTTTAAAGTTGTCTGTGTTTTTAAAAATTTTCTGTAGTGAGTTTGTATGACTTTTATAATCAGAAAAAAAAAACAGTAAATGTTGTTAAAATAGGTCTCTCCACACTCTACACTGCATCAAAAAAGACCCCTGCTTTTCAGAATCTGCAGGCAAAAAGTGGTTTGCATTAGGGTTGAATTTGTCAGTTATCATAATGTGCAAATGGATTTTGGATTCGCCGGCTTCTCGCATCGTGTAGGACGCACGGCTGACGCGCCGGCGTATGAGCTTGGGTGAGGCCCATCTGCTGTTCCAGCACAGCTTGGCGGACACAGATTTATTTCAGTTCATTCTTTAATTTGGCAGCATTTCTTCTTTTCTCATTATCATAGCTGGGATTCAGTACCAGTATTACTCATTTTGTTTACTGGTTTGTTGTTGTCTTTTGTTCCATTTTGTGGAGACGAAGAAGCCAACAATGGGAATTCTGTCTTGTGAAAACACAGTGCTTGTCCTTTGGGATCTTGGGCATGTCTTGCTGAAGGGGCTCTCTCTTTCTGACACTCGCAAGCCGTTTCAGTTGTTTCGATTAGTCGAAGCCTTCGTGGTGGTGGTTTTTTGTTTTTTTTTTTCCCCCCAAAGAGCTTAGTCTTCCTTTTCTCCCCCTTCCCACCCCCCCACCGCAGGAAGATTTGGAAATGGATCCAAATAGAAATTATAAACATTAGCCTTGAGCTATGCTCTCTCCATCTGGTGTTTGGTACTTTTTTTTTTTTTAACTGAAGGCTCACATTGTTTAATCTTAGTCATTGCAGAAGCTGGGGGAGGGGGGCGAGACTTCTACTCTGCCCTAACCACCCTGCACTTGAGAAGGGATTTTCTTCTGAGTTGGTTTGTATTTCAAAAAACACTGGGATAGTCCGCCAGATCGCTAAGAATTTACTCAAGTAAAACTTTAGAACTGTTAGAGTCATCTTAGAGATTTTTTGAATGGATTTGTTGGGATAGGATGGCTGCCGCCTGAGAAGCCTCTTTGAGCCTGATACTTTCTGTTGAAGGACATTCCTTGTAAGACTTTGTGCTACTTTTTTCTCTAGGTTACCCTGAAGAGACTTACCCAATTTATGACCTTTCAGATTGCATCAAGCGTAGGCAAGAAACAATCCTGGTGGATTACCCTGACCCCAAGGAGCCCTCTGCTGAAGAACTAGCTGAAAGAATGGGAGTGCTGGAAGGTGAAGAATCAGATCATTTGGGTTGGGAAATGCCCACTGACCCCGGAGCCGGGGAAGAGAATTCTGTTACCTCATGTGACGCACAGCCACAAACCTGTTCCTGCTGTTTTCATGAAGAAGAGGATCCTGCGGTCTTGGCAGAGAATGCTGGATTCGGTGCAGACACTTACACTGAGCAAGAGGAAACCACCAAAGAAGTATGGCCCCAAGACTTCAGAGATGAAGGCCTGGGCATCAGCCCTGATAAAGTATATACAGGTGGCACATTGAGGAAGCGGAACCCCCAGGTTCTGCTTTAGTTGGTTTGGAGAAGTATCCATTACTCTAGCTCCAAGGTGACCTTTCTCTCCTCTCTGATTTCATCCTTGGCCCTGTGCCCTGAATTTCATTCTGTATTTAAATATCCTAGCTAATCAGGCCACTACCATGGATATCGTGTATCCTTCCTGGTGCTCACACACCTGTCACCTTGTAAAACACCATAGCAATTAGTATGAACACAATACAGCTTCACTCTTTCTCTTCATGCCTTTCTTCCACCAGAGAGTTGATCCACTGAGGAATTATGTTTGATCTGTTGGGCACTCAGGGGCAGAGGTCTGACTTCGTGCTAGGAGGAGCAGCTGGTTTACCTGTGACCAAACATTAGTTTACACGTGATGAGGACTTAAGGCTGCAAAAGTGAAGATTATAGAGTCCAGGATGCCTTACTCTGTGGGCCTTGCGCAGGTTAGCGGTCCCCTGGGTTCAAGAAGAGAACATTTTGTTAGTGGGTATGATGGGGCCAGAGCAGGGTAAGACTCTGCTGTGTGAACTGAAGAAGCCCCTTCCTCCCAGTGAGGGCCTTTTGGGGAGCACTGCTGCTGCCTCAGATACCCGCTTTTCTCCAGAGTAGCAGAAGGCTCCCAGCGACCTGTGAATGAGCCCAGAAACGAGTTGGGGGACTGTTACTCTGGTTTTGCTGGGTCTCTAGCTTCCTTTATACCTGTTCTGTTTCACAGAACTGCCAGCCCAGAAGCACCATTGTACCTCTGGCCTTCAGTGGCCAGAGGAAGCTTTAAATAGAGATTTTAATCCTTGCCCTGCAAAGCCAAGGTTGGAGGCTGGGTGGTGGACCTCCACGAGACGGTCAGAGAGCGAGGAGTAGGGAGAGAATCTATGTACTTAAGGACAGCTATTTCTAATTGTTGTGCCCTCTGGGAAATTTGTTCTTACCACCACATGAATTGAAACAGAAATGAGGAGGACTGAACCTATAGACAAAGTGCCAGCCCGAAAGGAAAGTTGCAGTGTGTCTGTTGCAGAGAACCTATAGCAGTGCCCAGGGAAAGAGACTATTCTATATTCAGGTATCTGGGTCTTTTGAGAAAGCTGGGAAGGGGAGGAGGTTGGTCAAAATCCTCCCAGTCTTAACCTCACTAAAGGCCTAATTTCTAAGGGTGCCACCTGTCTTTTTTTTTTTAAGATTTTATTTGAGACACAGCAAGAGCAGGAATACAAGCCCGGGGAGTGGGAGAGGGAGAAGCAGGCTCCCTGCTGAGCAGAAAGCCCAACGTGGGGCTAGGATCCCAGGACCCTGGGATCATGACCTGAGCCGAAGGCAGATGCTGAACGACTGAGCCACCCAGGCGCCCCTGTCATCTGTCTTCTTGAGATAAGATGGCACCCATGTATCCTGTCTAGGAAGGATGAGTGAATTCAGTTTACATGTAAGACCTGAGAGTTTAAAGAAGACACATTCCCAGGAACATTCCTCGTCATGAAATGTGGAAGACTTGAAAACTAAGAAATGATGTAAAGGTCGTTAGGGCTTTTGGAGTTCCATTGTTCCTGGTCGACTAAAATGCCAGGAAAATAGCTAAAATCAAACATATAGGCATATAGACTGCTGTCAGAAGGTTATAGGATCATATTTAGATAACATGTCAGCTAATAGTAGGCATTTCTTAAATTAATGAAATTAACGTTTCTTGTTACAGAGAAAAGTCATTGAAGACTAAGTCTGTAGGAAAAGTATATTGTATCCATCTGTGTGTGGAACCTTTGATTCACTTTAGAGAGTATAGTTTTAAAATGTACTAGAAGTGATCTAGATGTAATGCTCAAGGTAAAAAAAGAATGTAGGTGCTCTTTACTGTGTTGATAAATCATTTTCCCTGTCATTTCCCTTTTTTCACTGCAAGGGGTTGATTTATAAGGAGTCCTGGGTCCCTGGTTCCTTCTTTTTTGCCTTAGTATCTATGGTTCCCTTATTAGAGATGTGTGTTTCTTTCTAGCTTATTCATTCATTTATTCATTTAGCAGACACTGCCCACAGCTGGGCAGTAGGAATAGAGCCTCAATTCCTACCTTTAAGAAACAAAAAAGCTTAGTGTGGGAACCTTGTCCAATTTTTTTTAAATGAACTGTAAAAGGGCTCAAGATTGTGAATTCTGCAGGCAGAGAAATATTGGTCATGATTCCATCCCGGCCTATTCTATCTGTACTCTTGTTGGCTCCTTACCCCTCCTGAGCCTTGGCTTTCTCCTGACACAGGGGAGTCGAAGTCCAGCTCTCCCAGGGTGGGTAGGAGGATTAAATGTGAATCATCAGTGCATCTAAAACAGCACTGGCCCTCCCATCTCCTCCATGCTAACCACCCACTAGATGGTAGCTAATTTACTTTTATTGTACAAGGTTTTACGCTGTAATTGAGATGTGGACCCAAATCTGCAGGAACACAAAGATCATTTTTGCCAAAGTACTTCCAAGAAGCTTTACTGGGGAGTTGGATCTTCAGGCATGCTAAGAACTTCTCCAGGTGGCCAAGGAAAAGAACGGTCATTCTTGGCAGAAAGAGCAGTGTTGGACAAAACAGAGACAAGTGTGGAAGTATGTGGATGTTCAGGTATTTTTATGAGGCTGGTATGTAAGATGTCCTATAACCAACTATTTTGAATGTTAATCTTTGGGGGAAATTGGCTTATGGAACTATCTCCTGCCAGGAGTACTAAGAGCTCATGATGGTTCCCACTGCCCTCACTCTTGGTTGGCTTATACAGTTGGGATATATTAACATTTATATTTCAGAAATATTTATGTGTTTGGTCATTTAGATTAGTGCCTTTGTGGATTTTTCCGAATTATTTTATCCTTCAGGGATGACAATTATGTGTATATACAACCCAGGATGACCAAAATCAGAGGACTAGTTTTTGTCATGTGTACTTTTTCCTTATGGTCTTCACTTCTCGGAACTGGTCTGGGATGTGAACTTGATCAGCCCCCAGGTACTAGGTCCTCAGTGACCTTTGAGCACTGTGGCACAGAGCCTGAAGTCCTAGCTCTGGGGATGGATAAATGGCCTAGGAAACAAGGGCATCACCTGGGACTGAGCTTGGTTAAGTTAGGAGGGCGAGCCAGTCAGGAGAGCCTCTTTCCTAGTCCTAATAGGAGCACAAGGAAAGCACTTTGTGAGCTCCGGGACTAGTGGTGCACGTGCTCTAAAAAACTAGGCCCAGGGAGGAAGGCATGTTGAAGAATGGAGGCATACTGGACCTTTAGAAGAGATGGCCTATGAGAGCCACTCTCTCTGTACCTTCTATGGCTTGGGTGATCAGATAACTCATGGTCCAAACTAAGGCTCCTTGAGAGAAAGAGAAAAGGGAGCTTTAATTAGAATGATGCCAGGACAATAGGTATAAACCGGGACTGCCATGGACCTATGGTCACCCTGTCCTTGGCTATTTGTCTTTCACCTGACCGCTAAACAACAAAAACCTCTGGTCAGAACCTGCATCTGCGGTTTCCCACAGAGGCAGAGCCAAGGAGCTGGGCCGTGGTTTTGGCAGGATCTTGGCCACATAAAAACTCCAAATCTAGGGTAAAAAACTAAAACCAGCTCTCCTTACTTTTGTCCTAAGAACCAGGCCCCTAGGGGCATACTGAGGAACTAAGCTGCCCGTGCTTGCAGAGGACTACTCTAACCGAAGTCTCTTCTATCCAGCCCTTCCCAGCCTGGGTGTGGTTCTGCCCAGCCTTAAATCTGACGAGCTCAGCCACAGGAAGGACAGCGTCAGCCCACACAGTAGTATTTCCAAACAAGCCGTGAGCCCTTCCTACCCACCCCCACCCCCAGGCTCTTAGGACAGACGGAACAAATACACTGTAGGTAAGAAATGTTTTCTCCCCTTTTATAGAAAAAAAAAAGTGCACAGCAGTATTTAAACAGTTCAAGTTTAATTTGTTGCTATATGGTCTGTCCTTAGACAAACACTAAGTTCTACAACATATATAACGTCAACATGGGAAAATACCAACTTTTTCATTGCACATACCAGTAAATAAATACATTTGCTCAAGAATAGCAAAGAGTTTATTCAAAAAGTCACTTAATAAAAGCACAGTTTTGCAAGTTTGTCTAAAACTCCAGATAATTTGGAACAAAAATAAAATGACCACTCCAGAATAGGAAAGGACAATCTTGTGCAAATGGACATACATATTCTAGGCATTAGGAAAACTGGCTAAATGGCTAATCCCAGCAAGAGAAGTGTCCCCCCCATCCTGACCAAGTCCCCTTTGAAACTCTGCAGGATTAAAGAGGCCAGAGTCAGGCTTCCCTTTCTAAGCCACTCAAAATTACACTCTAGGAAACTCTGGATCTTGGCCTAATCTGCAGCTCTGCCTGGACCCTGATGGGGGAAGGGAGAGGGGCAGTAGAACAGGAGAGAGGAATGGGTGTGACAGGTTTCTGAGGAAAGAAAAAAGGCACAGTGATGAGCCAGAAAAGGTAGTGATGAAAGCAAAGATCAATTTTTCATTCACCCTAATTATGAGAAAACGACCTAGGAAGATCATGTGGTTTGCTCAGAATCACATAGCTCTAGAAGACCACCGTGCCTCGCAACGTGGTCAGAAAATTAAATCTATCCGCACGCTTCTGCTATGCCTCCCCCCCCCCCATATCCTGAGATGGCAAGATTGCAAACTGGAGGTACAGAAAGGGACCCAGCACAAACAGGAGCCCTTCCCCTGGTCTGTTCCTGGGGGCCGCTACCATTCAGTGCTGGGCCCCACAACACAGCAGACTCCTTCAGCTCTGGAAAAGTGTGCTCGGAGGTCACAGGTACAGCTCAGCTGGGGCAAAGAATTCTGGAGGGGCGGCCAGTGTTGCCACAGTGAGGGACCACCAGGGACTCCAGCCAGGAGAGGGTTTGTGCTTGCGTCACAGAGCCACGGGCCGCCCAGCGTCTCCCCTCACTGCGGACCACACTGTGAGGAAAGCATGTCCTTAGGAGGTTTGAAATCACCACCACTGCTTATTAAATTTAGAATTTCCTCTAAAATTTCCAGACCAAAGACAAGCTTCTGCAATTTTGTTGCCCCTTTCGTCACTGAAGGACACAGACTCCAAATTTTCACACTCGCTGGCTTCTAACAAACACCTGTCTTCAGCATGCGTCTGGACCTTAACTGCTCCTTCTGAACTAGTGTCGTGATTTTTAAGGCACATTCACTAGACTATGTTCAAATTCATCCCAAAGCATGCATGTAACATACCAATTTCTTCAGGTAATGCAAATTTCTTAGACGGTATCCTCCTAATCTTTCTCCCAAGAAAGAGCTGGTACTTTCCCAGGTTTACTTTCTGACCAAAGAGCATGAAATGAACAAAATCCACAGGTAATCGTAATATCCTTATTCCTTTCCTACTCATCCTTAGAACAATGATCGTAGTAAGAAACCTCAGTGGGTGAGTTGCAGATTGCCCTTTTCCCCAAATATACACAGACACGTAGACACACAGAGACAGAGCACCTTGGAGCCAGAAGGAAAGAGTGGGAAAGTGAACATCACAGCTCTACAGAAGAGCTGTTTGGGGGAAGAGGGTGTGGCCCCAGGAGCAGTGACAGAAGGAGCTGCCTGAGGTCCCAGCTGCCCACCACCCTTAGGGCTTGCTCATTCCATCATCCAGTCCCATCTGGGTAGAGGGTGTGAAGAACAAGAGCTCTTACCCTGGGAGATGCTGAGCCCAGGTGGTCTCCAGGGGCCCTGGCAGCTTTTTGAGTCTTTGGGCCCATGGCTAGGCGACCAGTGGTCAGGGAAACCAGCATCACCAGGAATGGGGTCTTAAGAACAGACCTTGTGAAGCTGGGTCTCGAGCAGGTGACTCAACTGCTCTTGTCACTCTGTGCCCAACAGAGGTTTGCTGCTGAGCTACCGTCCCCACGTCTAGGCTGGGAAGCTCAAGACACGTTCCTAACCCCTCCTCGTCCTCTCCTGCATATTCGATGGAACGCAGGGTGTGAGCGTTTGCCCTTGTGCTTCTGCCTTTTCCACACTGGCGCCAGGCTTTCCTCTCAGATCAATCTGTTCTACTCTAAAATCCTAGACCCAGAGAAACAGCTTAAACCAGACTTCTGAGGTCTAGCTTCCACCATCCCAAATGTCAACAGGTCTCTTCCCAGTCAGGAGAGTAAGAGCCCAACTGGGACTGTGGAAAAGTGGACCAGCCCCAGTGTGAAAAAGTCTAGTGCCCTCAGAATGACCCCAGGAGTGGTCCAGAAACCAGTCCTGTAGAGGGGCCTCACCCAGATCCCCGCTAGAACACTCCACATAGGAAATCTTCTAAGGAAATGAGAACACACTGCTACCTACCACTTCAGTCAGAACCACTCCCCCTCACTACAGAGCCTCACTCGAATGTTTCAAGTAGGACTTATTTAAACCAAAAATTTCTATGCAGCCTTTCCAAGCACATCTCCGCTGAAGGGAAGAACTCCTGCTTGCTTCCCACTGAGTTCTGGCCTCCGTCTGGGCAAGCAGCCTCGGCCAGGGTCAATGGCAGGCAAGAGCTTAGCGTTCCCTAGGCTTCAGGGTCAAGAGTGCCATCCGAAGAGGAGGATGGTGGAGATCAGGCCCCGCCCTGGAACACTCACGCCTCACCCACCACACCCCAACAGAGAAAGGCGCAACGGCCTTCGTGAGGCCTGCCCTCGGGGAGAAGCCAGACACCGGGCAGTCCTGATTAGACTGATGTTCAAAAAGCCAGCTTTCAGCAGGAAACTGCCTAATTTCCCTCTGAGAACGGTTTCAATTTCGTACATCAACTCCGACATTTCTAAGTCTCTGTAATCAGACAAAAGGGGGAGGGCATGCAGACCGGGGGCCCAGGAAGGCCAGAGAACCAGAGAAAGCAGTTTCTCGGGGGATGGTAGGAACAAAGAAATCGAGGGGGCGGAAGTTCTGAATTCGGCCACTGACCAGCTAGGTGACCCGGTGCAAGTCCATCTTCTAAATGTGATTCCCCTAAAGTGACACGTTGTACTAGTTCATCTCTAAGGCTTCTGCCACCTCTCCTCTCTCGTGGTTCTAACGTACTCCCTGCCTTTCTTCACCCTGTCCCATTCCCAGCCCAGAAGAACCACACGCAAGGCCTCAGCAGCCCCGACTTAGGCTGCGCACAGGGGCTGCGAGGCACCGGCCAGAACCCCTGGAGCTACTTTCTTCCCAGAACACGCCATGGCTTAGGACCGCTGCCCTGCCAGCTAGAGGCCCAGGCCTGCCTACCTGAGTGCCCTCTGAGGCTGGGCGCCCGGCCCCGTCCGCGTCTCCTGGGCACTCCGCACAAACTGCCCCGCAGAGAGCTCCTCAGGCAGCGTGTGCCGTGTACCTCCCGCATGCTGAGCCTGGGGCCCGCAGGCCCCGGCCTCCTGCTGCCTCCGTGCGCACACAGAAAACCTAGAGGAACCAAATGGGCGGGAACCCTGGGCCACCAACCAATTCGCCAGCCGGACCCCCGCAGTCCTGACAAGCTCTTGCCACTCACCTTTCCCCAACCCCCGTAACTTCTCCCAGCCTGGCTGAGCCCTTCCGGAGTCAGCAAAGGGCCTGGAGGCCAATCCTAGCCCTTCTATATAAAATCGATGTACCCAACACACACCTACACACCCACACTGTGCCCTTCACTGTCGGGGACCCACTGTCACCTGATTCCTAGACTGAGTGGATGGCTGGGCCCCAGCAGCCCTGCATTGTGCTTCCTCTCCCTCTGTTTCTTCCTACCTTCCCAGCTGAAGAGGCTGCCCAGCTTGGCAAACACGGCTGCAGCAGGATACTAACTCAAGAGTGGGAGTGTGCGTACGGACCCTGGGGCCCAGGAAGAATTCACGCTGGCCCCTCACACACACACCTCCCCCACCTGGTCCTGTCTCCACAGTGGAGGCAGGAGTCCGGTCTGAGCCGGCTGGGCCAGGGCGCCACTGAGAGCTGAAGGTTCATCTGGCGGGAGGCCTATGTACAGAGAGGGTAAGCAGGGCTGTCTCTGCAGGCAGGCAGCTCCACTCCAGGCTGGGCAACCCCAAAGGGCACAGGGGGGCCCTCTACTCGCAGGCCAGCTTGCTGTCGAAGCTGGACAGGGCGATGGCAAAGGCCTGCAGCGCGCACAGTGGGTAGTTGTAATCCATGGTGAACACATCCTCTGCCACACGGCCAAACTGCATCACAATGTAGTCCGCTGGAGCCCGGCACACGCGTGCACAGGGAAAGCCACACAGGACAGGGCAGGGAAGGTGCGGGGGGGTGGCGGACAGACAAATCATAACGGGCAGAGAAGGTGAGCAGAGATGCCCAAAGGAGGTAAAACAATTGGAAGAAGTGGTGGGTAAGAGGGAGTAGATGACAGAGGAGAACGAGAGGCACACAAATACCAGGAGACAGAGAAGAAGAGAAAAAGTCCATTCAGAGGGTGTTCCCACACCTGAGACTCTGCTGAGTGCACAGGGTCTAGGGTTAGGGCTCCAAAGAAAGTTCTTCCAAGGGCCTCCCAGTCATAGGGTCAGAGACTTTTTGACCTCTGATCGCAGCCATGTAACCCACATCCTTGAGCTCTGGCCTATGAAGGCAGGGCTGGGTGAGCTGAACCCTGAGCTAAAGGCTCTGGGTGTCATGGGGACAGTCCTGAGGAAGGACAGAAACACTCACGGTCATTGCCATGGATGATCTGGAAGTTCTTCACGGAGGCCTGTGTGACGCGTCCATGGAAGTTGAGTACGTAGGACTGCGTGTCGTCATTCCAGACAGGGGTCTTGTTTTGCAGCTCGATGATGCTCTCCGTGTTCTTACTCTGCCAGCGTGTTAGCAGCGTCTCGTGCTCCTGGGAAGGCAGCCTCACCTGAGTCACACCGGCCCCGTGCCTTGGCCGCACAACCGCCCTAAAAAGGGATCTGCCCTCGGGACGGAGTCCTTAATCTCCCTAGACCTCCACCTAGAGCCCCGGCTTCTTCCACTGCGTCCCCTACACCTAACACAGCGCAGCTGCAGTTCTGCTCCCAGAAGTGCATGCACATGATGGGATGACGGGGGGTGGGGAGAGACTCACGTTTCGCGGCCGGATGGAGACTCTCTCGTGAACCATGTTCATGCCTGGGACAATCACACTCATCTTCCGCGGCCCCTTGAAACCTAAGACGTTTGTCTCCTGGGAAACCGAGAGAGAGAGAGGACTCAACACTGGCCATCTGAGGACTCTACTTACCTAATGGAGAGACTGGGAGAAAGGGAATAAAGCTGACGAGCTAGTTTTCACCATCTCCGCCTGTCTAACAGGCATCTCTACACTTAACCCAACCGAACTGAGCTCCCGAATCTCCACTCTGCCCAAACCAGCTCCTCCCTACTGTCTTCCTCGCTTCAGTTGACAACTCAGTTCTTCCATTTGCTCAGGCAACCTACTCTGAGTCATACTTGACTACTCTCTTTTGCTCACAACCCACTTCTAATCCATCAGCAGATGATGTCACCTCTCCCTTCAAATTCTATCTGGAACTAACCACTTTACCAGCACTGTCTCTCCCTGAGGTCACAGTACTAGCCTTTATCTGGATTCCTGGTTTCCGACCTTGCCCTGCCCATCTGTTCACACGGCAGCGAGTCGTCCCGTTAAGTCACATCTTTGCCTCCACTGTTCATGCAGATTAAAAGCTGAAGGTCTTGACTGCAAGCCTCACGTGGCAGGGCCCCACTACATTCCTCTCCCCGCCACCTACTCTCCTCCTCTGCGCTTTGCTCTACCCGCAGCCCCCCCCCCCTACACACACATGCCAACCACTCAGGACATCAGTACGGGCTGTGTTTTCCACTACACGGCTGGCTCTCCCTTCCTTCTGGGCCTTAAAGCCCAAGTGCTACCTCAGGGAGGCCCTCCCTGCCATCCTTACTAAAAGCTTCCACACATCTGAACATTTCATTTCCAGGCCTGATTGTTTCTTCTTCACGTTTATTTATTTGTTTTACTTATAAATCTGTTTTATAGCTTGTCTCCCCACTAGGGTTTAAGTCCCATAACGGTATAAATTTGCATCTCTTGTTCACTACTGTATCCTTAGTGCCTCAAACAGTATTAGCTGGGCTCAATGAGCAGTTGAAGAGATTCGGGCTGCCTCCCCAAAGGTGACCAGCAGGTGGCACCACAGGCTCATACAGAACAGCTATGGCTTTCCCAGTTGGCCTCCAAGAAGTACCCAGGCCCAGATTAATGGGTGTACCAATCCCTCATTTTAAAATAAGGTAGAGGGCGCCTGGGTGGCTCAGATGGTTAAGCGTCTGCCTTTGGCTCAGGTCATGATCCCAGGGTCCTGGGATCGAGTCCGCAGGAAGCCTGCTTCTCCCTCTGCCTCTCTCTCTCATGAATAAAAAAAAAAAAAAAAGAAAAATTCCCTGTATTTACATTCCAGTTTGGTCACTTATGTGCTGTATGACACTGGCAAGTGACCCAACCTCTCAGCTTCAGTTTCCTCATCTATACAGTAAAGGAAATAGGACTGAGCTCTCAGGTCATGCATTCCATGAGATGACTATGCAAAGGGCCTTGTAGTCCATGCAGGGCCCAGGTACTGGAGGAAGGGGTGGAGGATGCACCAACAAGATCTCAGGCCTCCTGCCGCCTCCTTTCCCAGCGATTCCCAGGCTGGGCTGCACAGAGCTCAGCCCAGTTCCCAGAGCTCCCCAGGCAGATGGCTTTCTGTGGTCTGAGCTCTGAGGACAGACAGGGGCCATGCCAACAGAGGGCAGCCCAACTCTGTACAGTCTTGTCTGCTCACAAAGATAGATGGGACAGCCCACAGACCGGGCAGCAAGTCCTCGGTGTCCTGTCTAACTTGGAGACCGGAGACTCAGGAACGCACGACTCACGTAGCACACAGCTGCCAACTCCTGACGCAAGGCTCCACTTTCCAAAGTAGAGGAGGATGATGCCTTCTGAGGGTTGACTCCATTGTCATAAACGGTGAACTTAGTGCCCATGAGGTTGGACCTGAAGGACAGGCAATCAATAGAGGATCATGCACCCTCTGCCTTAGGGCAGGGAGCAGCTCAGTCTGTCCCATGAGGAGCCTGCAGAGCATTCTGGGTTGGGCCAGGAGCAGACCTGGGAGCACACTGCACACTGATTCCCCACCTCTGAAGGTCCTTCATGGGGAGAAGGCCTGGACTCGCTCTGAATAGAATCAAAGGGCATCCTAGTTGAGTGAGGGAAATCCCAGGAGGTAAGTCTCAGTTCCACAGGTTTCCCTGGAGGAGCAGGAGTGCTCCCCTCATGGGAGGCGAGCAAGCAGATGGCATCTGGCAAGACTGCAAAAGGCACTCAACATCCCACGGAGAGTGGATGACACAACCCCCTCTCTCCTGTCCAGCCTGTTGAGTGTTGGTCTAGCCCCATCTCCAGCATTAGTTCCTCACCTCTAAGCTTGATTTATACTCCCCCAATCTGGCACTCTGTCCCTTGGCAAACACTCCCCTAGCTCTGAGGCCTAGCTCAGAGCCTTCCCCCGACCCCAAGGTTGTGCTCTCTTCCCTCAAGGGCTCACTCACAGCCGTGCCGTCTGGCACTGAGCATGGGGCCAAGGCAATTCTTCCAGGGTGGCCCACATCGTCAGTGGCTTCCTGAGGTCTGACCTGTCCCTCTTGATGGGCCTATGCCCCAGCGACCTGGGAGCAGCTTGGGGTAGGGTATGGGAGCTCCATCTCCGAGTCTGGCTCTAGGCTGGCACAGGCCCGGGCCTATGGCTGGAGCTGACGGACAAAGGATTCTATGAGAGGATCTGACCCCTGCCCTAGATCTCCCCCAGGGACAAGACACGCCCACTCCAGAGTCTGGCCCGGCCCCTCCCTCCCAGCCCCACCTGCTTCCTAGGGGGGTGCTAGTACCGCAGTTTCCCGATGTAGCTGTCCCCTCCTCGAGACAAGTCTGTTGGGTCCACAGAGATGAGGTAATTGGAAGTTTTACTCTTCTTTCTCTTCCTTCCCGCCAAAAGGAACACCTTGGGGAATGGAGCAAGGTCACTTTCCAGGCCCAGCCTCTGGTCACAACCGTGGGTGTGACTCACACACACACACACCAGCAAACACAAAGGTACGCACTGACCGGGCACGGAGGCTTCTATCCCTTCGGGGAACGGAAAGCTCAGTGTTGGACCTGAGGCTCCCAGTCACATTCCAGCCCACAGGACCTCAAGCCTGCCTCAGGGAAACTGCAAGTTCGGGCCAACCTCACCTTCTTCCCATCCTCGCGGTCCAGGTGCAAGAAGTAGGTGGGGTACATGCCCCGGTCCATCCCCTTCTTGTCCCGCGTGATGCGGCACTTGATGGTGATACCCTGGGGGGCTGGCCTCAGTGCAAACTCCTCAAGATCCTGGACCTCGACATCCGCCGAGGGTCCCGGGGCTGTCGGGCTGGGGGCCGAGGCTGCCTCCTACAGGGGACAGAGTAGGAGCCCGAGCCCCAGAGACCCTGAGCAGCTGCAACTGGTGGTCTGGGACCCAAAGCTGCCTCCTGATGTGGTGGTGGTGGTGGTGGTGGGAACTGGGGCAGGGTCCCTGGGATGTGGGCCCAGCCATCCTGGCCCTGGGGTCAGCAGCTAGCTCCTCAGCCCTTCCCCCACCTCAGCAGTCCCCAGGGTGGGGGGAGATGGAGGATGTGGGCAGGTTCTCAGGGCCATCCCTTCCAACTCGAGCCCCCCACTCCTGGCCTGGCTGAAGAGAAGAGGAAGCAGGAGAGGACAGAAGAGCCCTGGCCAGAAAAGCTCCTGCTCGGTTTCTAGGCCCAGTCCCAAGAGAGCCAACTCTCCATTTCTTCACACGCAGGCCTCTGGGGACCCCGCCCACCCCCCACTCCGGGCAGGGGAAGCGCCTCACCCTGACGGACTTCCCGCTAGTAGCAGAGCTGGGGCGGGTGGTACTGTTTAGCTGGGAGGAGCTGGAGCTATTTTCATCCTCCTCCTCCTCTTCCTCTTCAAAGCTCATGCTGCTAGAGACACCTGGGCAGGGCAGAGGAACGGGAAGGGACGAGTGGTCACAGACGCGCCGGCCACCCGTTCCGAAGCACTGAGTCACCCGTGCACACACACGGCCATATGTCCACACATGCGTCCACACACATACATCCAAATATATGGAAGGACACGTCCTCTCGAGGGCATGCATGACCTGGGGCTGGTCACCATCCTTAGGGTGTAACCCCCCCCCACCCAGCTTTCCGCTCAGTCCTCCCATGAGACCCCCCTCTCAGGCAGTCAGCGCCCATCTGCTGGGCAGCGAGGCCTGAGTGGAGCTGACCCTGTGCCGGGAGCCTTCGAGTCTACTGGTGGCCTCGGCTGGCACAGACCATGGAATCTGCTTGGGAGAGGCCCAGCTCCTTCCTCCCCGGCCTGATGCACGTGGCCCACTGACTCCTCTCCCAGCCTGCCTGTGGCCTTCTGTCTATACATTTCTCCCCACCTGGAATGCTGTCCCCAGCCTCCTGCTGCCTCGATGGCCCTTCCTCCAGGAAGCCAGCCCTGATCTCATTTCTTGGAACGTGTGGCCCTGCCAGGCTTCCTTCTGCCACCCTGTACCAGGGACTCCGTGGGGCGGGGCTCCTGGTGGGGAAACTCTCTGGGCAGCAGGTTTCCTGGGAGGATCTGCCCTGCCTCTGGGCATTCTGGCCTTGCTCCCCGAGCTCAGCAGATGAAGGGGAAACACTTTCAAAAGGACCTTTTTCAAAGGAGGGAAAGGAAATCTGTCTCCAAACCTGGGTCTCCCTAGGGACAGGAAATAGAGGTGGGGAGAGAAGGCTGGGCTGTGGACTGTTTGCTTTCCCTAGTTGATTTCCCTGAACTTGACCTTATCAGGGACCCCTACACCCAAGTTTCTCATTGGTCTCGCACTGTGCCCCCTACCAGGGCCATGCTCCTTAAGAATGGTGCATCTGAGAACCTGGGACTGAGCTTTGGGGGTGTCACTGAACCCCCACAGGGCTCACCCTTCCTCTGCATCGTGGCACGGAGGTCCTGCCCGCTGGGCCGTGTGCCCCCGCCGGCTGCCGTCTCCCCCGCGTCCTGAGCGTGGTCTGACTGGCCCACAGTCAGGATCTGCACCGGGTCTTGGGCCTCAGACTTGTCTTCTGCCAGTGCAGCTGGCCCGCTGGTGCCTGCAGGCCATGTGGGGGGGGGGGGGGGAGAGCCTGGATTCTCAGACGTCTTTGAAGTGGGTGAGGGATGAGTGGGGGGAACCCTCTACAAAACTGATTTTTAAAAACACTAATGACTGCTGCCAGCCTCTTAACGATCAACAAGCTACAAAGGGACATGGGCTTCGTTTCTTCTGCTGTTCCCCCAGATTAGTTGCCGAGGGTTGGTCTGAAATGCCTCACATCCCTAGGCAGAAGACAGCCATCTACGAAACCAACTGCACAGTGAAAAAAATAAGATGGAGAACAAGGACCAATCATGACCATGGCCAAGGCCACCACTCGTTCAGACATGGCCACCTCCCAGTCATTAGTGCTGATCTCTCTCGCGCGCGCGCGTGCACACACACACACACCCCATAACTCACACATGTCATTCAAAACACATGGGGCCCCTTGAAAAACACAGAGGTCGGCTTGCACTCCCCTTCCCGATGGAAGCTCTCCCATCCCACGTCACCCTGCCCAAGGTGCCCAAGTAACAGAAGGCCTGGCCCACACAGGTGGCAGTCCCCTGCCCGGCTGAGCTAGGCCCCTCAATGCTGCAGTCAGCTCCAAAGCCTATGACTCCGGACACACCACTGTCCAACCCCGTCTCAGACGCCTGGGAATCACTGCGCATGCACACGGGTTGGGGACACGGGGTGTCTAGCCAGCAGAGACAGACTTGTGGCAGGAGCCACCGTAACGGTCCTTGATCTCTGGGGATCTTTTCTGGAGAGAGAGGAACTGAGAGAACAGACTGGTCTGTGGGCCCAGAGGGTGGAGTTAGGGCTAGAGGGAGAGTCGAGAAAGCCCATGTGACAGTCGCGAGTACCGCCCAAGGATGAGACAGGCTGCCTAGAGCAGGACAGAGGTGGAGGGTGCTCAGGCCAGGTCGGGGAGGGGCTGCCTGGGCTGGACCCAGGCGAGCTTCACTTCACTTCCTGGCAGTGCGGGGAGCCTGCCCATGCCCATGGGCAGCTCAGGAACCCCCATGAGCTAGAGGAAGCCTGAGCGCCAGCTGGGTGGGGGCCCAAGTGCCCTTCTGTGCCTTCATGGAGGCCTCCCACCCTGTCCCTTACCTCCAAGTCTGGAGGAGAAGCCTCCCCCCAAACCCTCCAGTGGGAGCCAGGCCTCCTGAGGAGGGGCTGTCATGGAGGCAAGCCAACCTTTGTGCTTCCCCTGCTTCTCCTTCCTAGAGGCCCCGCCCTGGCCCCCCGCTGCAGATGCTGCCTTGGTTCTCTTGGCTGAGGCTGGTGCTGTTGGGCGGGCGGCTCCCAGCTGCGCACTGGTAAGTGAGTCGGCCTCTTGAACTGCTCAGGCGAGAGCCCGAGAGAGAGAGACAGAGAGAGAGAGAGAGAGAGAGAGAGAAACATGGGCCCTAGGTGAGACCAGAGCTCCAAGTGGAACTCACTTCTCAGCACATTTGCCAGGGCCCCACCACCACCCAAGCCCTGCCAGGGCCTCTGTCCCACCCACCTCTACAAGACAAAGGGGCCGGGGCAGGCCAAACTGGAAGGAAGTGGTTCCTGAAGCCCCATGTGATAGTCAACAGGCTGGCCCACGGCATGATCAACCAAGAAGCACGCAGTCAGAGCTCTGGGCCAGCAAACTGTGTGAGCCTGGGCAGGGCGAGGGAGAGCATCTGGGAGAAAGTGGGTCACTCAAGGTGCTGAAGACGGAAAAGGCTGCATTTCCTAGAAGAGCCCAGAACTCGTAGGGCAAGAACTCCAGGGAGGCTGCACCAGCCCGCGTGGGACAAGCCCATGGGAGCCTGGCACCCAGAGTACCCTGAGCAGAAGGGGAACTCTGGCCTACAAAGAGCTGCACACACACCAACAGGGTCACAGCTGGGTGGCCTCCACAGTCTCCACACATCAGAACCCCAACCTGCGCAAAATCTTTGAATGACTTCTCATTGCTTGTAAGATGAAGACCACCATTCTCCCGAAAGTCTGGCCCCTCCAGCTCCCTTCCACTTGGCCTTGGCCTTCACAGCACACCCCTCATCTCCCGGGTACCCCAAGTCTCAGCCCCACCAGGCGCTTTCAGTGCGTCCCCTCTTGCCACAGGGGCTTTGCTCTACTGTCCCACCGTCTGCACTGTCCTTACTCCGGACGTTGGCCCCCCTGGCCCCAACTAAATTCCCACTCAACCTGTGGATTCCTGCTCAGGCCTCACCTCCTCAGGGAGGCCTTCCCTGGCCCTCGTCTGGGAGCAGTCTCTCTGCCGTTCACTCACAGAGCCTGTTTCTGTTCCACCAAGCACACCTGTGACCACCTGTTTAACTCTCTCCCTTCCTAGACCTCCAAGTCCATGAACAGAGAACACGCCTGTTTTGTGCTTCCCCAGGACCCTCAGCCTCTAATCCAGAGCTTGACACAAAGTAAGCCCTCAATAAATATTTAAAAAATGGATATACAACATGGATGAGCATGGTCAGTGAAAAACTGTTCGCTGGGAGAAGCAGTTCTCACTGATGCCAAACCCCCCCTCAGCCTCTGGAACCGACCCCCTTGTATTTAACACCAAGAGCCAGCAGAGGGCAGAGCAGGCGGCGCTGGAGGGGCCCTCGGAACCAGGGACCCCAGGTCAGCCAGCCGCGCCTCCTCAGGGCTTGGCGCTGGGCAAAGGCACCCTCCCCCCACCCCAAGCCTGGGCAGCAGTCTCCGCAGGGAACAGCATTCATGACTGGACCGCGGGACACACTGGCCGCTTCGATTTTTAAAGCCCCAAGATACAGGATGTTCCTCAACTTTACGAGGGGAGAAAATAGGCCGAGACAGAGTAAGTGACTTGCTCGCAGCCACAGGTGAGCAGAAACTATCTTCTGACGGGGGTGGGACCCGCTCTCTCCGGAGGGGCTGCAGCCTTTCTGCGGGCCCGGCCCTGCCCCGGGCACACAGTCGGTGCTCAAGGAACACCCGCCAAGGCGACCAAAGCCTCAGGATGCCTGAGCACATGCCGGGGCCCCGGGCTCCAGGCCCCGGCCTCCCTCCACCTGGGCTGGGCGTCGTCCGGGCGGGAGGAGCCCCTCGCCCGCCTTGGCCGGCCGCCGGCCGTGAGGGGCTCCCCGAAGCAGTGCCGGCGGGAGGGGGCGCGAGGCCGCAGCGCGGGGCCCTCCCCAGGCTCGCCCCCGGGCAGGCTCTACCTTGGTAGCTGGTGCTGCCGCTGCTGCTGAGGTAGGACTCCACCAGGGGTGCCTGCTCCTCCGACTGCCGGGTCCGCCGGCTCCGGGGCCGCCCGTCCGCGTTGGCCTGCACCATCAGGGGCTCCTGGCGCTTCTTCTTCTGCTTCTGCTCCAGCAGGGCCCGCTGCAGGCACGGGACAGACACACAAGTCGGCGGGCCCCGAGAGCGCAGCCCGCCGCTTCCACCCGGAGGGCAGGCTCCCAGCTGGGACCAGAGAGAGGGCCCCGATCGCTCAGCTCGGTTCTAGGGGTTGCCAGGGGGTCCACAGCCCACTTTGGGCCGACGCTCCGTGCCCTTGGCACCTGGAGACTCAGGGTCCAGGAAAAGGAGGCACAGGTCAGCCCAGGTGGCCTTACACGCGTACGGATGTCCAGTGCTCCGCCTGCAGCCACCAGCTGCTTGCCCGGCAAAAGCCCTGAGCTCTGGGGCAGTGCTGGTGCTGAGCTGGTCAAGACAGGGCTCGCCTCTCTTCTGTGAGAGCCTCCTCCCCGCCAGCCAGGGTCACCCCAGGAAGGGAGACAATCCTCGCTCTCCACCCGGGATGGTGAATGCTGACTGCCCGTCCTCCCGGCCCCGGCCCCGGCCCCACTCACCTGCCGGTCCAGCTTCTGCTGCCTCAGGTTGCTGCCCTCATCATCTAAGACACTGCAGAGGGAGACAGGGGCACTCAGGGCCTGCCGGCCGGCTGCCACAACACCACCCAGAGCCCGCCCCTCGCACATCTGGGTTCTTCAAACCCCTCCCGTCAGGACTCCTGGGTGCAGAGGAGAGGGGGGAAGGGTGGAGCTACTATCTGGAAAGTGGCTCCAGACAAAAAGGTGGGAGCTATATTTTGGCCACTTTAGGAGCTTTCTCCTGCTGGGGTCCCTGCTGACCCAAGGAATTCCTGGTCAGCCTGGCCCCGGTAAGTACGGAAGGAGACATGCCTGAGATCCAGGGGAACCTGCCCAGAGGCGTCAGGTGCAAGCCAAGCCCAAGGCTGGGCTTCAGACCCAGGCGCCTGTTGGCTCCAAGTCCCTCTCGGATCTCACCAGCTCTTCCCGTCTTTCTGTCCTTCCTAGAGGAGGCTGGATCCTTTGCGGCAGACTCTTTCCTCTTCTATTCAAACTCCTGGCTCTCCAGGAGCCAGGTGGCAGAATGGAGGTGCTGCCCACCCCCTCCCCTCTTAAAGAAGGCTGAGGGTCCCCCCATTTGGGAGAGCGAAGCTAAAAGACCAACCAGCCCCTGAGGGCAGGGCTAGGGCTGGGTGGGGATATCTGCAGGCAGACGCAGCCCAGCAACCAGCCAACATGGCGCAGGGGGCACCAGGGCATCAAATCCTTGAGTCCCTAAGGTCTTGGAACGGGCAGGGTCAACTCACATAGGCTGGGCTTGCCTCCCAGGAAGACAAGCATAATTAGGGAGCTCCAACCACTTAGCATTCCTTCTAGTCCAAGATACATCCGTTAGCCGTAGCCCCAAATTCTATAAAAGCCAAGGTTAGGGGGTAGTAGGGCTGGCGTCTGAGGACCTGAGCCCTGGGAACCCCCAGACTACCCTGGCCCAGGGATGCTGGAGCCTGCCCCTGGACCAGACCTTGAGCGGGTCCCTGCACAGGCATGCCTGAGTGCATCAGGTTTGTATGCGAAGCGCTAAGTATACGTCGTGCGTGTGCACACACCAGGAGGTGTCCACATACACGAGCACATCTGCAAGTGTGAGCACACACCGCACAGCTGTGCAGATGAGCGCCTGCGTAAGAAGTGGGTGTGCTTGTGCGCAGGTGAGCACAGTACGCGTGTTAAGGGGGGAAGGTGAGGGCGAGTCACCCCGAAGACAAGCTGCAACCAGTGCCACCTCCTCCTGACGACAGGAGCTCTTCTACCGGCAACAGTCATCCACCTGCAGTGTTCCTTCGGCTCATCCAAACTACCCGTGTGTCCGTGTTCCGGGGGGCCCGGCCAAGGGTGTGGCAGGAAGCGCATGGAGCCCACAGCCCACCGCCCACCTCTGGCTCTCCCCGCCCACCTCCCCGGCCACAACCTAAGACAACTGCCCGGTTTTAACTGGTAGCTGTCCTCCTTACTTGAAGGCCTTTCCTGACACCCAGGGGCCGCCCTGCACTCAAGAGGAGCCCCGACTGTGCTGAGTCTGGTCGCAGCCTTATTCTCCAAAAGCCTTGGCTGCCAGAACACAAGGGAAGACACTGCTAAACAGACGTGCTTCTCAGTCAAGGCCTCAGTCCACCTAGAATCGCCCACAGCTGCACGTGGGACTCCCTGAGGGCACTGCCAGGACCAGGCGACAGGGACCTGGCTCCTAAAACCTCAAGCTGGCTGGCACAGGGAGTGCCATCCGAGAAAGCAGGCACCCCAGGCCGGAGGGCAGCAGCGAGAGTTCTGAAGGAAGGATGCGTTTATTTGGGTGAGCAAGGTGCCTGGGGGCCCCGCCAGGTCTGAGAGGCTACACCTCTGCCGCTGGCCTCTCCACCTTAAGTCAGTGGCCGGACTGAAAAATGCCGAGGCCACGCATCTGCTCCCACAGACTTCAAGGGCTCAGTCCACAGACGCCACGGTCCACCGGGGTCTGCGGCATGAGCAGCGCGGATTCCTTACAAACCAGCGGGAGATGAACAGAAAGGGCACTCTGGACTCCACGTGGCACCGGCTGACGGCAACAACGGGGCCTGACATCCAGCCGCGCTCTGCCTGCCAAGCTCTGTACCTGGGTCCACACGGGGCAGCCCGTCATCTCAGTCATGCTAGTGGCCTGGCCACAGGAGCCCACGTCGCCTCCACGAGACCACTGGCTCTGAGTCCTGGGGCAGGAGGCAGCTTCGTGGCCCCCTGGCATGGCGCAAGGCCCCTGCACTTTCCTAGGGCAGGGCCAGGGACAGCCAGGTCGTCCGGGGACTGAGCTTGGGGAGCAGGGCAAAGCCCCGCCCTCTGTGGTGCTGACGCGAACATCTAGGGTCATTCAGAAAAGGGGACATCGGCCGCGAGTTAAGCTGACACAAGCAAAGCCACCTCCAGAGGCGCCGGGTCACAGCGACAGCGCGACGGACAAGGGTGGCTCTGGTGTCCCTATCCGTGCGGGCGGGGGGGCGGGGGGGCCGCACATCCCTAGTGCAGGCTACCGTCCCACTGCCCGGACTCTCCACAGGTCACGCGCGGGCAAGGAGGCTGCTTTCCTCCTCCTCCGGGCCCACCTCCATTCCCTGATCGGGCAGAAAGAGCCAGAGCCGCAGGCCTTAGTACCGCCGGTCACCTGGCAGGACTACAGGTGGAACGGACTTCAGGACCGGCCCTCACAGAAAGATGGATGAAAAGGGGTAAGCTTCTGAAGAGATTCCAGAAACTCGGATAGCCTGGAAGAGCCTGGAGAGCCACGCCCCCCCTCCCCGGCCACCCCGCTGGGCACACCGGAGCGCCCCCCCCCCCGCCCTGTGCAGGGGCGCGGCTGGGGGAAGCCACGTGCGCCCGGCCAGGGGTGAGGAGGAACGTGCCGGGCTGCGCACGACCCCCCGGGAGGGCCGGCAATCCACGCAGCTCCGAGCGGTGGTTCCAACAGTGCGCGACGGCGCGTCCAGGAAAGCTGATTCCTGCCAGGGCCCTGTTTCTAGGAAAGCGGGTCACGGGCCCCCGGCAGGGACGAGCCCGGACCGCCGGACAGCCCTGTGTCGGAGGCGCATATCGCCCCGATGGAGAACAAATCCCCGCAAGCCCCGGCGGCTGCTGAGAACCACGGCAACAAGGGGGGCTGTGTCCAGGGAGTGGAAGGAAACCCCTCTCCCGACCCGGGCAGGCCCCGCCCCCGCCCCACCCCTCCAGGCAGCCCTGCCCCTCAGCTCCCACCAGGGCTCCTTCCTTCCTGTCCCGCCGCCACTCCCTGGCCTGCCTCTACCCGATGGGCACTGTTCTGGGCAACACTAAATGATAACCACAGAGGAGAAAGTAATGGCTTTTTAACAACTCGGGCTCCAATTACGGAATCGCTGCCAAGCCCGGGCTGGCAGCTGCGGCCCCGCCAGGAGCCTCGGAAAGGAGACAGGGCACTGATGGATGGGTCCTCCAGCTGACCCTGGCGGCTCCTTCATCACGGTCACCTCCTGCTGGGGACCGGACCAGGGAGATCCAGGAACGCACCGGCCACTGGCTCCTGAGGGTCGGAGAAACCCAGTCGGCGGTGTCCACCAATCCACCCATTCTGCCCAGGGCCAACGAACGAGGTGGCCCTTCGCCTCCCAGGGAGACAGCCCCTCCATATCTTGCCTCCCCCGAGCTGCCCAACAGGTATCTGGAGAGAAAACCATGCTTGATAACGAATGAGAGGAGGGGCACTGCTCCCAGGGGATGGAACAGCCAGCCGTGGACAACACATTTAGGAAGCCGGGGCCCTGCCTCTCTTTAGACTCCACCCCCTGCATGCTCAGCTAACCCACCAGAGCTGACCAGAGCCCTGGGGGCCAGGCTACCTAGGGACAGGCCCGTACTCCACGCCCAATTCACTCTCCCCCTTTTATGCCCACATTCCTTCCACTCAGGCACAGCGGAAGCTGCCCCTGCTGGACCCAGGGAGACAGAGGAGTCAAGACCACGCAGGGGGCCAGGCTGCAAGCCCTGTACCTGTGCCAGACTTCCCCACCCCCACCCCAGCACGCCCAGATCTGCCCCTAGTGGCTGCCTGGAACACCAGGGAAACACAGTACACGTGGGAACAGGCGCAGCCCCAAAAGGGAGAAGCCCACAGGGCTCACAGGAGTCCCAGTCTCCCAGGATGGGCCCTCTCCATTCCTGCCGTGGGCTCCCAAACTTGGCACGTCATTAAAACATTCGGCCCTGACTTGGTGATTCAGAACTGTTGGGGAAGTTAGCCCAGAATCAATCCCTCACCTCATTTTCTCTTTTAACGCGAGAAACATAGGTGATTTTAATGTTCAGTCATGCAAATGAGGGCCATGAGCCACAGCTGGTGATCTCTAAAGAACAAAAAAGAAATCCGAGAGTTGCTCAAAGTATGCAAATGCAGCCTTCTGTTCAGATGGGGGAAGAAATCGTAGTCTGTAGATCGATCAGTCTTACACAGGCCCCAGGTAAGATCATGGGACAGATTCACTGAAGAGCTAGAAGACCTAGTGATCAGCAGGACTGAGCCCAGTCGGCCAGCAAGTCAGGGCACATGCCCCCAGACCTACCCGGGAAAATGGGAGGGCAGCACAGCCAGGCTGCCACATGGAATCACAAGGATCAGTGACAGTCACTAGTGGGCAAGATAAAGCAATGTGAGCGGCATGCTCCTCCAAAGAGACAGGGTTTTGCGACAATAAAGCATGCCATAATCAGAGGTTTCCAGCATCCTGCTTCCCTTGCTTAGCATGTTTACTGATGACCTAAAGACAAGGCAGGCCTCACAGCAGACTTATAGGTGACACAAAGTCGAAGTGATACTAAACTGTTCATTAAGACAATAGGACTTCAGAAGACACCGGAGAGCTTGCAGAGTCTAACCAAAGGAAACCTAACAGGAGAAGGTCATGTCTTACATGTGGGTCCCCAAACCCAGGTCTGCCCCACACAGGCAGAATGGGGGACACAGGGCTTGACATCAGCCTGATGAGACTTTGGAGTTCTGTTTACAGAGGCCTCAAGGTGACGAGTCAGTGAGCCAAAGCTGTCCCCCATGACAGGGAGGGCCCAAGGTCAACAACGGGAGCAGGGCCCCCAGCAAGGAAGTAACAGCCTCCCTCTGCTCGGGGTGGGACAGGCCACACCCAGGAAGCTGCAGGTGGCTCCAGACGCCTGCTGGAGGAGGGCAGAGACCAACCTGAGGGGAGCCGCACAGTCCCTGCTCCCTGAGTCCTCTCTCTCACCCCTGCGTCCCTGCTCCTCCCACCAGAAGCAGCAGCGGGGCGCCTTCCCCGGGGCGGGGGCGCCGAGGCTGGGAGTAGCCAGAGATTCTGCCCCTCCTCCCTGCGGCCGGAGGTGAAGCGGCCACCATAGCATCCACGGCACCCCGAGGCTTCCCACACGGGCCGAGCTGGAAGAGCCAGGTCTTGCTTGGTCAGCAGTCCCTCTACTCCCCAGAAGCGTTGTCCGGAAGTGGTGGGAGGGAGGACCCTCCCAAGAGCCAAGAGGAGGGAACCCAGAGGCACGCTGAGGCTCACCCCGAGGAAGAGCTTTCTAACGGTCACCCCCACGTGATGGAAGGGCGCATTCACACAGAGGACCCAACAGCCTGGAAGGGCCCTTCCAGCTGCGATGCTCATTCTCTGACGCAGGGCCACGCTTTCCAGCACTATCCCTTTCCCTGAGGGGAGACTACTACATCCCTCGGGTGTGCTGAGAACCCGGGTGTGCTGAGAACCCAGGTGTGCAGCCAGGAAAGCCAGAAAGTCTGAAAAACCATCTGGGGATGCCTCTTTGACTCAAAGTAGTGCGCATCTTGTCTATGCTGGGCCACGCCAGGCACACAGCCCAGGACCAAGTGCGGTCCCTGCTCTCCAGGAGTTCGGGGCTGGGTTGGGGGGAGACAGTGCAGAGAGAGCACTGAGGACAGGGCCCGCCATCGCTCCTTCGCTCTTAATGCTCCACCTGCAGCTCATAAAAGGTTGTGAAGCCAGGGAGGAGGGGCATTTAATACTCAAGAAGAACACAGATAAGAGAAAATGGCAGAAGTGAAAATTATTAGCACTACTAATAATAGAAAAAAATCAAAAGGCAAAACATTATTCCAATTGTTCAACTTTATAAACTAAATGGCTCCCTTCTGAGTCAGAATGTGAGATTAATCCATGATCATTATAAACGGAGCCACAATTACCCTTAAGAAGATTATCGCCAACTGGCAGTTGCTTCAGAGAAAATGAGCCAGGCCTAGGGAACGCAGGTGCAGCCATCACAGAGGGAGTAAAACCCCCACCAGGAGAGCTAACAAGAAATCGACCGACCTCTCTCCCCCAAACCAAACAACGCATTCCAGTTCTGACACGCTGTGACACTGGGGAAAACCTCATACCGAAGCACGTGCCCACGTGCCCATCCCCCTCATCTGCAAGTAAACGGCCTTGCCTGTCTTCTGCCCCAGTTTTCTGCGATCACACAGGCATGTGGCTTTAACTGCAATCAGCAGCCCAGTTAATGCGAGAGGCAATTTGCATCTCCTCTTCTCAGCCCAGGTCTCCCGGTTCTGGAAGGCTACACCCAAAGTCCAGTGCTTTCCCAGGCTCAGGGCATGCTCAGAAAGACCCCAGCAAGGCAGGAGAGATTCTGGCAACTTCTGACTATAGCCTGCCCCCCGATCGAGACCCACCCTCCCTGCCACAGAGCAAGAAGGCAGGGGTGACAGAGCAATGGGACCGCAAGCAAGTAGGGCCACAAAGGTGCCAAGCTGCTCCTCAGGGACAGGCTTCCAGGGCGATAGGATTCTGTGCTCCAGGTGGCGTGTTCGGGCCCAAGAAAGGAATGGGGGGATAGGGTGGTTGGGCCTAGGCTGGGGCAAGTGCCAAATCACCCCTTAAAGGATGCGAGTGCCCTGGGCGCCTCTGGAGGACAAAGCCATTTCCCAGAGACAAGCCCACCTCCTGAGGGACCTCTTTCCTAGAGGTCGGCTTTCTCTAAGACTTGTGCACTTACTCTACACATTGTTCTGGTCTTTGGCTTCTGGGAAAGACTTCCTTGACCCATGATCTGGCCTGGACCCCCGTTCTGCCAGATCCTAAACATACCATCGTATCCACAGCCACAAGGGCTCTCCCTTCCTGCCCTCCTAAGTCAGTCTGTGGCCACCACCCTGCCATGTGCCCCCCCACACTCGTACTTCCACAGCGTTAGAGGCCACTCAGCCTGCAGGTGCTCCCCAGGCACCTCTGCTGGGCGGCTAGAAAAGGTTAATGGTACTCCGTGGGGCTGCACGGTCTTCTAGAAGGTCCTCGGCACAGACGTGTCAAGCCAGGATGCTCCAGAAACTACCTGCGCCCCTAGCCTGGATGCCCGGTGCAGGGAAGCAGCTCCTGAGTCAGCAAAGCCCCAGTCTCCCGATGGGAGTATCTCCCTGATCTATGGGAGACTCTGAGATGTAACTGCATTATGCCTGCAGGAAACCCTATGGGTGACTCGTGTGTGTGCACGTGTGTATGTTGGTGGGAGGGGCACCCACAAATTCTAACTTGGGAAGCCCTAGAGCCCCCAAAGGAGCTTAGAGACAACAGTTCTCAGGAGAAACCCTGAATCCCCAGGTCAGTGACAGGTGCTTGTTTGCAGAAGGATCTCCTTTTAACAAGCCTCAGGCGGTTGCAGCTGGTTTCCATTTTGGATGCTGTCTGGACAGACTCCTGGAAGAGCTCTGTCAGAAGTATTTTCTATCGGTGACCAGAATCAGGTCCCTTCCCGAGAGCTGGCTGTGTTACAAGGCGGGTCTGGAGGCTCTGCTCCTCCAGCCCGCAGGCATGAGCACCTCGGCGGGCAATAGCACAGTGGCCCTCAGCAGTCCAGCACCCATCTTACACACGTGCCTCTCTGGGAGGCCTGGAGACAGCCCCGTAGCCCATGGCAACCAGGAGCCAATAGGTGGCCAAGGATCTGGCGCTGCCATGACGATGAGCTCTATTCCAGGGGTAATGGAGAGAATGAAGAGTGGATGGGGGAAAGGCCTGCACCTGTATGAGAAGCCTCCAACACCCCTCCCCCACCCCAGCCACCAGGCAACCGGCAAAGCCCATCTATCCTTGGGACAGACCACAGAGTCTGGGGACACAGGGTACCCGTGCTTCCGTGAGTGCTCTTATGCGTGTAAAGGCGGTCTGTGTATTGTGAGTTGGTGGGTGTCCAGGTATAGACCTGTTCGCAAGTGCATTTCCGAGTCTCTGATATGAGTAGTGCCTGTGAGTGGGTAGCGGGTGTCAGGTATTGTCCAAATACAGGATGTTATGGGCACAGAGAGTAGGAGTACACCTGTGTGAGACCGAGAATCAGTGTAGGTGGAGACGTACAGGGGCATGTGTGTATGAGCGGCCTGTGCTCTTGGTTCAGAATAACTGTCTCCAGGAATTCATGCTCTGCGTGTGTGAACAGACCAGCAGGAGTGTCTCTGGCCCGATGCACCCACGGGGGGTGCATGCCTGCAGCTATACGGGTGTCTGTCCACAGCTACACCGGCGTGTGACCCGCTGTGCTGGGCCTAGGAGGGCTCAGAGCAGTGCACTCCCTCCCCGGGCGGCCACATGGCGCTGCCCAACCCAACACGGCCCACACAGGCCCAGAGCACTGGCCCCTTCCAGCAGCCCCGGCGGACGAGAGACGGAGCAGGGCAGGCCGGTTCAGTCCGCCCGGGGCCCAAAGTTGGGGTAGGAAGGCCCGGCACCTCCAGCCCGCGCCCGCAGTGTGGGATGGGATGGGTACGGGGGCCCTGCACCCCGGGTCGGGGTGGTGGGCGCCGCTCGCCCCGAGCGCTGGAGGGTAGTGGGCCGAGCCCGCGCCCCCGAGCTGAAGGGGGGCGGTGGGCTGGGCGCCCGCGTACCTGTAGGGAATCCAGTCGGAATGCGGCTTGGAAGTCATGTCTCCCGGGGGCGGGGCGGCGGCTGCGGCTCTGGAAGCCGGGGCCCGCAGGGGACGGCGCGGGGGCCCTGCTCAGCTCCCGGGCCGCCCCGGGCCGCATCCTCCCGGGCCGGGGCGCTGGGCCCCGCCGAGGCCCGCGCTGCACGCCAGGGCCCCGGCCGCGGGCTCGGCGAGCGGCTGTCTGCGCGGCGCGATGGGCGAAGCGGCGGAGTGCGCGGGGCCGCGGCGGGCGTGCGCGCGCGTGGAGGCGGGAGAGGCCCGCCCGCACCGCCGGGCGCCACTGGAGGGGCTCGGTCCCGCGCCGAGGGGCCCGAGCGCTGCGTGGCGGCGGCCGCGGCCCGCCCCCTCGCCCCGCCCCTGGCAGAGACCCCACCCCCGGCCGGCGCCGGCGTTCCGAACGCCCCCGCCCCCGCTCCTTCCCCGAAGCCCCGGGGGCTCCCACGCCGCACACGTGACCGCGCCCGCGCCCGCGCCCGCGCCCACCCTGGGCTAAGGCCGAGGCCGCTGGGCGGGTCCCCAGACCTCCGAGTCTCAGTTTCTTTCTCTGTGAAGCGGGGATATTTCTAACTCTTACCTGCCTGCCTGGCTTACCTATCTCCACCCAGGGATGGGAACCGCTGCTTAGATGGGGACTGGGAGGAGCAGTGGGGGGTGGGATCCTTCGGTGCGGGGAAAGAGCTGAGGCCTGAAAAGAACCGAAGAGGTCTGGGGGAACCTGCAGATCCGAAGCGTGGAGGCTGGCCTTCCCCTCTCTGCTCCTTCCACTCCCCCACCCCCCGTCCTCACAGGCCCCAGGGGAACCTTTGTTTTTTAGTAAGGGAGCTGCTTTCTCAAAGCCGTGGGTCTTTCCCCTCTAAGCTGTAGCAGTCAAGAGAAGAATAACATATGCTGTGTATTGCATTCCCAGCCCTTATAAATTTATATTATTTAAGCTCCCCAACAGCCTTGAGAGGCAAGTATTTTCCTATTTCCAGAGAATAAAGCCTCAGTAATGCTAAGATGCCCAAGAACATAAAGCTACAAAGCGATGGAGCTGAAATGGAACCAGGGTCTCCGTCCTCCAAAGCTCTTTCTAGGGGCCACACTTAAAAGGAGGCAAAAACTTCTTTTAGAAAAAGTCATCTTAAAAGTCTCTGGGTGCTGAGGAGGTCTTGGCTGTGACTCACACCAACTCTAAAGCCAGCCATGGCATGGTGAGGTGAAGGACAGTGAATCCCCAGCTGGGGAGGAGAGAACAGGTGATTGGGCAGGGGTCTTCGGAGGGACACAGTCTCCACACTCCATGTGGGTGTCCTCACGTGCACCCTGGATTCAGCAGTGCGCACACCCTGCAACCGTGCAGGTCCATGTGGTGCAAAATAGGCCATCAGGACTGCATGACTGGGTGGGAGGGAGTGTGAGAAGAACCAGCTGGGCTGAGAGAGGGCCCCATCCTGCTGCCCTAGGTCCACAGCCAGGACTCCCCACCGCAGGACTCTCCCAGCCTTTCTGCCTGGCCTGGCCTTCCCCGTTAACTATTAAAAACAATATCCAAAATGTTTGGAGCATTTGCTGAGCTCCAAGTGCTCTCTACACTGTAACTCATTTCATCCTCACAACCACCCTAGGAGGTGGATGCTATTATCATACCCATTTCACAGCAGAAGAAACTGAGGCACAGAGAAGGCAAAGATCTTGCCCGACGTCATAGAGCTGTGCAGTGGTGAAGCTGAGATTCCCACACAGCAGTCTGGGCCCACAGCCCTTGCCCTTAGCCTCCTTCCGGCCTAGCACGGTTCGTGCCACATGCCACACACCCGGTCTCTTTCTTCAGGTTTCTGGAGCGCAGGACAGGACAGATCCATCTCTGTCTGGCACAGCATCATCAATCTCTGAAGGCCGTGACCTCTGATTATCAACCTCCAAGAGCTATCGCTGTCACAGCGGACAGAGGGCAGACAAAAGAAATCACCCCAGAGTGAGGTGCAGGGGGCAGAAAGCAGGGCTGTTTTCTTGCCTGCTGGGACACTTGGCATGGGCCTCGGTTCCACCCATCGGGTTCCCAGGAAGGTCAGCAGAAAGGGACTGGCCCCTGCTTTGGAGGCCAAAGCACTACCCTGAGGGCCTCTGTCCTTTAGGACCAGAGGACAGAGCCCTGCGTCCCTGCCTAGCAACAAGAGGCTGGTCCCACCCTCCAGGCCACCCTTTCCCAAACTGCAACCCGCAGCTACCACTTCAGTGATGACTGACTAGGGCCTGGAAGACTACCCCTTCAAGGATGTGAATGCTTTCCCCATTTATTCCCAAATTATCTGACACCTTAAAGCAATCAGAATCAAGTTGGAAGGTCTCAGGAGCCTAAAGTAATTGAATCTATTAAATAGATACTTTATGTTCTGTCCTGAGAGAGCAAAATCTGGAGGCAGAGTGAGGTGCAGAAATAAGACAGCTCCCCATGTCTCTTCCTGCAGAGGCTGTGCGCCTGCCCATGGCATGTGTGGGAGCCAGTGGGACTGCGTGCCATGTACCCACGAGTGTGCACGAGTGTGTGTGTATAAGGTGTCCTTGCAGCTGGTCTGCACAAGAACATTTGCTGGACGGCATGGGGAGGATCTCAGTATGTTCTTCTGCGGTTCTAAGGGGTGTGTAAGTGTTCACACTCAACTCAGAACTGGCAATGGGTTTTCCTGCTCAAATAGTTTCCCTGGGGGCGCCTGGGTGGCTCAGTCGTTAAGCGTCTGCCTTCAGCTTGGGTCATGATCCCAGGGTCCTGGGATCGAGCCCTGCATCGGGCTCCCTGCTCAGAGGGAAGCCTGCTTCTCCCTCTCCCACTCCCCCTGCTTGTGTTCCCTCTCTCGCTGTCTCTCTCTCTGCCAAATAAATAAATCTTAAAAAAAAAAAAAAAAAAGCTTCCCTAGTTGACATTTTAAGTGTATGCCCTTGGCTTCCATTGAAAAGCCACTCCAGAAAGCCACATGAGGTAGATTGTACTAGGCCATGGTTAGAACACAACTGTGCTATAGGGTGACCCTTGAGAAAGGGCCTAGGCTTTTCAGATTTAGCCTGCAGAACCAGGTGATCGCTCCCAAAATGCCGCCACATAGCAAACTCAATGCCTGCCTCACCACCTGCCCAAATCCTGCAAGGGTGGATTTACATTCTCCTTTCAAACATGGCCACGGTTTGTGAGGGGAGTGCAAGAGTTTAGGCCGAAGGAGACTCTCCCATCTGCTACCCCAGCTGGAAGACCCCAGTGCAAGCTCCTCTCAGCGAGACTAGTTCACCCAAGGAAGAAGTTTCGCACCTTCTTTCGGCACCTTGCCACTTCATGTGGAATTTAAAATTTTCAGTTTCTAATTTAACAGTTGTATTGAGTGCGGCCAACCTCTAATCAATTTTGGAAGCAACAGGATCTGAATAATAAGTGAATATCTATCCAGATCGGGCACTCAGTCCCAAGGTGCCCCACCTCAGAGCTTGGTGTTGCCTCCCTTCGGGCTGAGGAAGGAGATGGACTTGACCCGCCCGGGCTCGCAGGTCCGTGCAGGGCTCTGGCAGGCGTCAGGCCCAGTTCTGCTCCCAGGGAGCTTTCAGTTGGCAGGAGAGACGCAGAGAAGCCAGGGGCTAGGGTTACAACACAGGTGTACCAAGTGCTGGGGGCACAGAGGAGGGGTGGCCAGTGGTAGTGGGGCGAGGGAAGTCGGGGTAGGACAAATCTGCCCTGAGAGTGATGAATTGGTCCTTGAAGGATGAGTAGGATTTTGATAGACTGGTATAAGAAAGGAAGGGGGGAGCTTTCCAGTTACTGAGATTCTACAACTGGCCCGGTGCTGAGCTGGGCTCTTTCACCAAAGGGCATTCTAGACACAGAAGATGACGTGAGCAAAGCCACGGGGATATGAGAACATGTGACCAATGCAGTTGATAATCAAAATGCAAACCCATGTGGTAGCACGGAGGTGAGTGGTTCCATGTGGCAGGAGAAGGGCCTAGAAAGTTAAGGTAGGGCTAGATCACATGGCACCCTGAACACCAGGCTGAAGAGTTTGAATTTTATCCTATAACTAACAGGGAACCACTAAAGGGTTTTAAGCCACGAGTAACCTGCCCAGGTGTACTTTTAGAAAGATATAATTGGGAGCAAAATGGAGGACAGAGGGAGACAAGGCCAGACGTATCGACAACTGCTAGCTGGGTAATGGGAAAGTCCAGGACAGGGATGAGCAGACCCTGCACCAGAGCTCAGTGCCTTTTCAAAGCTGTTGAGCAGACATGATGGCAAAATGGTAGCATATGTGTGGCGGCCAGATAGTGCCCTCCAAAATTTCCACTTAAATAACTGCAGAACATACAAAGACCACCGCCCCATTTCTACCTGACTCAAGGGAGATAAATAGGCTTACTGATGTATTTGAAAAAATGTAGGGTAGGCACTGGCAGAACTAAAAGCAATATGCTTATTTTCCAAGTAACTGCAGGAGATAATAGCAAATTAAAATCTCCACCACCACCACCACCAAAAGCACAGTCTAAAGAAAACATAAAATTGGGATAAAGCCAAATGAAATAGCGACAGAGTGAGTGTAAGTGGGGGGCCTGTGGATGGGATCACACACGACCATCACTGGTTGCGTGCATGCTCTGGGCCAGGCACTCATCCCCAGGTTTCATAGAAAGCAACTATGGGCAAGAGGATGACGAAATGCAACTCTCTGGTCTAGGCGCCGAGTGAATAAATAACGCGTTGCTGAGTGCGGTGGGATAACCCCGACCAAACAGGACCTGGAAGAGAGGGGGAGGAAACCCGGGTCTGTACTGTTAGCCGACGCCTACCTCTAAATTGTTAGAGGCTTAAGGGGAATTTGAGAGAGAGCCTCAGGGTCCAGTGGACCCTCGTGGGAGCAGGGAAGGTACATGGCCTTTGCCTCAAATCCAGAGAGGTGGGCTTGAAGGAGAACCCCCTAGGATGGTCCTGAGGTCCATGGGTGGGCACAGGCAGTGGATCCAGGCCTGCCAACCCGAAGAGCAGGGGCGGGTGGCTGCCCTGCTGGCTGAGAGGGCTCTGCTGCTTTGGGGTCGGGTCTGTGCCCTTTTCCTGTGGACCAGTGTGGGTCCCAGCATGAGGGCCAGATGCTGTTATCTTAGATCTCAGCCGAGAGGGCCCCATTGGGGGAGGAGGTGACAGTGGGGAGGGGATGAGCCCAGGCTTCCCAGGGCCTGAGAAAGGAACCAGAGTGTCCTGTGGAGCTTTGGGGAGCGACAATCACCCGCATCAAGGGAGCTGAGCTTCTGGAGACAGCCTAAGCGATGGAGTGGTGTCCAAGAACCCCAAAAATCACC